CATTCTCAATAGCAATGTAGGAGAGTCTGTCTCTCTACATCCTCGCCAGCATTTACTGTCCTCTGCTTTTTTGAATTTCACTTTTATTGCTGGTGTGAGATGATAGCTAGCTCATTGTTAATCTGCATCTCTCTAATGGCTAATGATTGTGAACATTTCATCATATATTTGTTGGCTGCCCAAATGTCTTCCTTGGTGAAGTGTCTGTTCATGTCCTGTGCCCATTTTTTAATTGGGGTTATTTGTCCTTTTTTTGTAGAGGTGTTATAGTTTCTTATATATCTTAGAAATTTGTCTCTTGTCTGGTATGTCATTGCAAAAGATTTTTTCCCGTTTTGTGGGTTCCCTTTTTACTCCTTTGGTAAAATCTTTTGATGCTATAAACTTCTAATTTTTAGTATGTCTCAATCATCTATTTTATCTTTTGTTGTTCGTGCAATTTCTCTGTTCAATGTTATAGGTCTGTTTTACTTTGGGTACTTCTATATTTGAGCTCTGGTATAGTGCTGTGGGTTAACGCGCTGGACTGCAAATGCGCGTTTGAATCACTAGGTTGGCAGTTCAAGCTCACCAGTCGCTCCTTGAAAACTCTACACAGGGTCACTATGAGTCAGAACCAACTTGATGGCAGTTAATGACAACAATATCTGGATTGAGTGTATAGGTAATATTGTCATGTTTGTTAATCTAAGGTTGTTTGCTGTTGTTGGTTCCCTGTCCATAAAACTCCCTTTAGTATTTTTTGTGAGGTTGGTCTGGTTTTCACAAATTATTTTATTATCTATTTGTTTAAAAAAGACCTAATTTCACTGTCATATTTGATGGGCAGTTTTGCTATATGGGATTCATTGTTGGCAATATATTTTTTTTTTTTCCAAGTCTTATATATGTCATTCCACTGACTTCTTGACTGCATGGTGTCTGCATGGTGACAAAAGAAATCAGACTTTTGTCTTACTAGTTCTCCTTTTTAAGTAACATGTCATTTTTCCTAAGCCAAAAAAGAACAAAAAAAAAATCTGAAAAAAGCTTAAGAGGTTTGTAGGAACCAATCAAGAGTAATAACTTGCATATGATAGGAATTCCAGAACAAGAAGAAACACCGCCCCCCCCCCAAAAAAAAAACCCATAGAGAATATTGTCCAAGCGATGGTGAAAGGAAATTTCCCCTACATCGTGATTCTTTCCTTGTCGTTCATTTTGAAAAGTTTGATTATAGTATGTCTTAGCCCTGTTTGGTGTTTGTTCAACTTCTTGAATGGCTATCTTCTTATCTTTCATGATGTAGGGGAAATTTTCTTTCAACATCTCTTGGACAATATTCTCTATGGGTTTTTTTTTTGGGGGGGGGGTTCTTTTTGTTCTGGAATTCCTACAACATACAAGTTATTACTCTTGATTGGTTCCTACATACCTCTTAGGCTTTCTTTAGATTTTTTTGTTCTTTTTTCCCTAATTGTTCTTTAAGCAGATGATTATTAAGAGATTTTTCTTCAAGCTTCAAGCTCAGTGATTTAGCTTTCTATCAATTCAATTCCATTTGTTTACCCTTTCAGTGTATTATCTATTTCTGAAGTCTTAGTGTTATTTTTCTGGCTTTCTAACTGCTGATTTTGTATGGTTCTTACTGTTTCAAATATTTTGTCTATTTGTTCCCTGTTTTTTTTTTCCATAGTTTCCTCTGCTTTCTTGATTTCACCTGTAGTTTTCTCTATTTTTCTCTCAATCTGATGAACCTGTCCAATTAGCATTCTTTAAAATTCCTTTATCAGATAGTTCTGATACCATTTCTGGTGTTATATTTTCTGACTGTATTTTGATGACTTGTTTGAGGCACTCTATCTTGTTTCCTTGTATAAGCTGAAATTGTCTATTTTCCCCATGACAGTGTGGTGTCCTGTTTATATTTAGTTGATGATTGTACACTGGTGTATTCTCAGGCACTTACTACCTGTCACACTTCCGGTCTCCTGAATGTGGTGGAGAATGGAAGTGTGCAAACAGTTCTCTGTTCACTCTTTATGTAGCTTAGTTCAGGGTGGGTTCACACGCCTCCAGAAGCAGGGGTATTCTGCCAGGTGACTGACATCAGGCTGCACAGGACAAGGTGCAGTTTTCTTATGGTCAGCAACCAAATTTAAGTCACCAGTAATACAGCAAGAACAAAACACTAGACACAGTTATATTACAAGATCAAGAGTCAACCCCCGCCCCCAGACAATTTACAAGATGTTTAAAAATAAAGGAATAAACTTTTATGATTTTTTTAAGTTTTATATTTGCCACCACAATGCTTTAGATGCAAGGGGGAAATGGCAAAACAAAAGAACTATGACATTAGTTTTGTTCCCTAAATATTCTCATCTTATTTTAGACATAATCATTGAGTGGTACAAAGAATACTTTCATAGTTGTTGTTTTTAAATGCTGTTGAGTGAGTTCCGACCCATAGTAACACTATATAGGGTTTCCGAGGAGTGGCTGGTGAGTTTGAACTGCTGACCTTGTGGTTCAAACTGACATTGCAGTCCAGTGCATTAACCATTAACCCACAATGCCACACTAGAATTACTACAAAATATTCCTCTGGTAGCCTGAACCTTGAAAGATTTAATGAGATGATGTGAAATGAGGAAAGAATCACTCAAGAAAAGTCTTAAGTGAATGCCAAGATAATAGATATTCTTATTACAAAGACGAAGTTGGTGGTTGTTTTTTATCATAGAAATACCACTTATGGAAAAAATTTAAAAACAAAAACAAATCTATATAATGCTACTGGATATTTTACTTTCTACAACTTGTTGTTGTTGGTAAGTGCCGTTGAGTTGAATCCAACTCACAGCAACCCTATACAGGGTTTCTGAGTGGCTGGTTAGTTTGAACCGCTGACCTTTCGGTTCAAACTTACCTTGCGGTTGAGTGCTTTATCCTACAGCACCACACTACAATTCCTTATTGAGGTATACATGATTTAAAGAACCTTTACTAAAAGTATAAAATCTGATGAGTGTCATTGATGAGTGTCATAATTAGTTTGAGATTTATTCCCTTTGTTTTAGGTTACCAATAATTAATTTTGTTCTATTGTTGAGTAGTATTCCAACGTAATGGCTCTGTCAAAATGTATCTGGGGCATTTGGGTTATTTTCTGTGCTTATCTGCCACCTGTGCATCTTCTTTAGACAAGTATTACCTCAGAGCTTTTGCCCATTTTTTTAAAAAACTGGGCTGTTACTTTTTTCTCTTAGTAAGAATTCTTTATATTATTGTAAATATAAATATTTTGTCAGATATATTTATTGCAAACATTTTTCTCCCAGTGTGTAGATTGCCTTTTCATTTATGCAAATTTTAAAAACTGTGGTTAAAATACAACATAAACTTTGTAATGGTAGCCATTTTTAAGTATACAATCCAGTGGCAGGATTCTCTTTTGTTCCTGGTCAATATCTAGCTACCTTCTTATAAGTTAGCATTTCTTTTCAATGATTTTCTCTATTATTTTGTTTCAATTTTATTTCTATGCTTTTTATTAACTCCTTTTAATTTACTCTTATATTTCTAATTTTTTATGGTAGAAGTTTAGTTATTGATTTGAAACTATCTTGCGTTGTGGGATAAGCAGTGAACTGCTAACCAAAAGGCTGATGGTTCAATCCCACCAGCCACTCCTTAGAAACCCTATGCAGGGAACCCTATGAGTGGGAACTGACTAGATGGCACCGAATAACATCACCTAATAGAAATGTGTAGTGTTATAATCTTCCTCTAAGTACTTTCTTGCCTGGCTAGCTCAGCTGGTAGTACATAAGACCCTTAACCTCAGGGCTGTGAGTTCGGTTCTCACGTTAGGCATGTTTTTAGTTTACTGGAGGCCTGGTGTTGGGCTGTAGTATAAGCACTCGACAGTGATGTTGGTTTGAACTGAAAGGTCAGAAGTTCAAATCCACTGCTCCTCAAAAACCCTGAACAGGGTCATTATTAGTTGCAACGGATTCAATGGCACTTAACAACAACAAAAAGGACTGTCTTAGTTTCATTCCACACTTTTTAAAAGAGTTGTAAAGACAGAATTTAACCTGCAGAAAATGACTACTGCTGTAAATATTTTCTATCAACAGAAATGCAAATTGTGTCTGGTAGTGGTGGTGGTTCCTGGAGCAGAAAGCCTCATTTTTCTCCAGGAGAACAGCTGGTAATTTCGATCTGCTGCCCTTGAGGTTAGCAGTCCAATTCATAAACACTAAGCTACCAGAGGTCCTTAAATTGTGCCTAGTGGAATACAATGATCATGCTGCATATGCTGATATCCTTTGTAAATTCATTTCAACAATCCTCAAATGATTATAAATGTGTGGTACTTTGAGTTCTTAGTTGAATCCGTTTTACTGTTTTAATGGCTTTTTCATTCATTAGCGAGGTAAATAAAATTCATAGTTACACACTTAACATTACTGTAATAACTAATAATGATACTAAAGTGTTATAGAACTTAGTAGAAATATATCAGATTAACCTATGTACCACTGGTGTGGTGCTGTAGGATCTGCCCTGGACTGCGAACTATAAGGTCGGCAGTTCAAACCCACCAGTAGCTCCTTGGAAACCGTATACAAGGGTCACTGTGCACTGTATTAATTTGTGCAATGAACATTAAGCCATGAAAAAGGAGTACAGTTTTCTGAGTTTTGTGTAGATACTTATTTCTACTGCAAATATTTAAGAGAATTTGGATAACATTTAAACTACTACTTTTCAGATAAATCTGTGGATTTGACTTTATTCATCAAATGAAACTTTCTCAAAATGCATAGTTGTGAAAAAGAAATTATTTTAATTCCAACAATATTATATTTTATTGAGTACTGTAGAATTTCCAAAATTTTATAATTAAAGAAACAATTTACATTTGTACAAATGAATAAGAAGAGTACATAACTATTAATCCACACGTTCATCAATAATGCACTGCAAATGCTAAATCTTAATCTTTTTACCTTTTATTTCCAATAAGCATAATGACCATGTTGGAATTGGAATGCTGACGGGCATCTTCTAACCAGGTTGTCAAGTGGTTGAATGTATCTCTCCTAAACATAAACGACAATTTTATTATTATTTTAAATGCATTTCCCCTAAAGGATATTGTTGTTGTTGTTATGTCCCGTGGAGTCGGTTCCGACTCACAGCGACCCTGTACAAGGTTTCCAAGGCTGTAAATCTTTACGGGAGCAGAAAGCCTCATCTTTCTCCCGCACAACAGATGGTAGTTTCGAACTGCTGACCTTGTGGTTCGCAGCCCAATCCGTAACCACTATGCTACCAATGGTATATATTCCATTAGACAACTGCACTTTTACTCATATCTACTTAAATAATGAAAAATTGCTTCCAAGTACAGTATATGGTTCTAGAGTTCACTATTGCAATAACGTTTAAAAATTAAATTAAAAAAAAATATAAATAATAATACCAAACATTAATTTTGGGGTGCTTATTCTGGTGCTGCGGGCTAATGTGTCAGACTGCAAAGTCATCTGAACTGCAAAGTTGGTGGTTCAAGCTCAGCAGCTGCTCCTTGGAAACCCTGTACAGGATCGCTATGGGTTGGAATTGATTCAACAGAACTTAACAACAACAACGAAATTCATAAGAAAAACAATTTAGGTTTTCAAGGCAGACAGAGCATAAAGAAGAGCAAAGCTACATATTCAGTACTGGTAATCATATTTACTTAGAAAAATGCTCTATATTAAACAGTAACGTGAAATACTTCCAGGTTCTCACCTTGTGATATCATATACTAGTAGAGCACCGGCTGCACCTCTGTAATACGACCTTGTGATGGAGCGAAAGGACTCTTGCCCAGCCTGTTAAGAAAGAAGAGATTGAGAGTTTTCCTTTAGTAACCTATCCTCTTACATTTTTCATGTTATTCATATGAAGAAAATGGGCAGGTAGGAAAGGAGTACATAAAAAAAAAAAGAAGAAAATTTGACTAGCTTTATGAAAAAGTTACTTAATACCACTATTGCTGATAAACTACCCTTCCCTGCCCAGGAACAAGACCTCTAAACCCTTTTTGGCAATCTCTGACAACCCAATTTACTGAATGGCTTCACAATACATGAATCATTATTAGAGCACAGAATGGACTCCTAGCAACTAAGCTCTGAAGACAAATTTAAAAGGAAGCAAATAACCAGAGCTTCACATTTGAATTCAATAACCCACTCCCTGGGGCAGCTGTTGACACTAGAATAAATAAAGCCCATTGTAAATAAATGATGAATGACATCTTTACGCCCACCATCTGCTGGTGTAAAGGTTGCTGGAAGGCCAAGGATGCAGATTTTATCAGTTATATCATAAACTGCAGTGAGTTTTCAATAGTCATCAGAAGGTATTCTTTGTGTAATCATTTTATTATGAGAACAGAAAATGGTTTTGAATTTAATTTATATAATTTCCCCTCTACACTTAATCAGTTTCTCTGTATGTGATATATAATGCTTGTCAAAAGGCAACAGGATGGAAAAGTCATGTATACCGACTTGTGAAACAGACACCAGAGATCATACAAAAATCGCTGATTTCTGTTTTTCACTGGTGGCATTATTTTTTTTAAGAAGGTCTGGTGACGGGTGGGCCAATTGTTTCTGAATTTAAAACTGAGAGCATTCCTGTCAAATGACTCTTAACAAACAAACAAACAACAAATTACTCATTTCTACATTTGGGGGAAAATCAGCATGTAAATCAAGTAAAAAATAAAACTACGATTTACAATTTTTTTTGGTATTCAAGTACTACAAACTTTTAAAAGAAAAATACTCATATTATGTTCCAAATTTTTATCTTCCAGAGCAAATAAATATCAAGTCCTTCCCACTTCAGAATGCACACACAGGTAGCTTATACACTATATTGTGCTTTATACTAACACCCATCACTGTAATTCCTTGTTCTTATATAGGTCTTCCTAAGATACTTCCACCTCTAGCACTGGGCCTGGCACACAACAAGCACACAACAGTGTGCTGAACGAATACATGAATTGTAGTGTCTGACCACTGCGCTATCCCTATCTAAATTGAGCAACTGGTGAGTTTGAATTGCCGACCTGTGGTTAGCACTCCAGTGCCATACCAGGACTCTAAATGAGTATTGTTATGTGCCGTCAAGTTGGTTCCCATCCATAGGGACATTGTATAGGGTTTCCAAGGAGCAGATGGTGAGACTGAACTGTGGACCTTGCTGTTCAAACCATCCTTGCGGTCAAGTGCTTTTCCAATATCACCACGTCAGGAGGAACAGGCATCAGTAAAGTCTTACAACAGGATTTAAAACTTGAGTATTCATAGCCCATATGTGATACAGTAAAAGGGAAAATAAAAACACATTTATACTTTTATTTCACCCAAATTGTTTCAGACAAACATATTCTAATATGGAAATAACTTTGTACTGAATCTCCTCAATCTGGATTTTGTTCTTATTACAAAATTAAACTAAACCCCACACAAATGAAAAGCTACACATTCTAACTGAAGACTACGGATGTAGTTACGCATCATAAAATATTACTTTGTAAAGAAACAAAAGCTATATTCAAAATATTTTTTAAGTTCCAGAGACTTGTACGAATAAAAATTATACACTCTGGAATCAATCTCTCCTCTATGGCATTGTTGCTGTAAAGTGCAGAGGAGTCAGTTCCAACTCATGACCATATAAGCAGGGGTGGGGAACCTCCAGCCCTGCCAAGGCAACTGCAGTTCCAGCCATCATATTGGTGGTGGTTTTGGCTAAGTTAATTAAATGTTTGAACAAATATACCTGGCTAATTTTTAAGCTGATAATTTTGTATGGCCCATGAATGACGTTACAAATTTTGGCAGAAAAAAGGTTCCCCAACCCTGCCCTATGGAGTACTGGTATGGTGTTGCAGGATAATGCACTGGACAGCAAGGTTGGTGATTCAAACTCACTGCCACTCCTCGGAAACCCTATACAGGGTTGCTAGGAATTGGAACCAATGCAACAGTACTTAGCAACAACAACACCTGCTCTGTGAGGTTTCTAAGGACCGATTCTCAATTTACTGGTCCAGTGGTGAGGAATTTTGTCCTCTTGACAATGAGATGTAATCCATTCCAAAAGCTGTGGTCTTTGGTCTTCATCAGTAAGTATTTTAAGTCAACAAGCTTTCAAGAAGCAAGGTAGTATCATCTGTGTATCGCAAGTTTTGAAGGATCCTTCCTCCAATCCTAATGCCACGTTTTTCTTCATATAACCTAGCTTCTCAGATTATTTGCTCAGCATACAAATTGAATAAGCATGGTGAAAGAATGCAACCCTAGCGCACACCTTGCCTAACTTTAAATCATTTGGTGTTCCCATGTTCTCTTCGAACTGCCTCTTGGTCTACATAAAGGTTCCTCATGAGCACAATTAAGTGTTCCAAAATACTCATACTCAATGGCAGTCTTGAAATAAATCTTGCCCAGTGTTTTAATATGCCCTTCTCTACCTGTAAATAAGCAATTAAATTAACAGTGCAAAGCTAGCCCAATGATTAACTATTGGATTATCTTTATTAAAAAAGTAATCTAGATTAAAAAAAAAAAACAAAAACAATTTAGTATAAACCTGTCCAAATGTTGTTTGATGTAGATTGTTTTAAGGTGAAAAAATAAATAAGGCAACCTAGGAAATACAGATTCCTCTTCTTCACTATAAAGTATTGGTTTAAAGGTGTTTTAAAACCTTGAAACTGAACAGGATACAGATGTCTCTGTAGAAAGGGGTTCCTAGAGTCCTGGTGTGGTACTATAGGATATGCACTGGACTGATAACTGGAAGGTTGGCAGTTCAAACCTATCAACCTCTCTCAGAAACCGTATTCACGAACTGGATATCACAGAACAAGGGATTCCTAAGGGAGTTGTTAATGTTAATTATTGAGTAGTTTCTGACTCATGGCAACCCCATGTGTGCAAAGGAGAAATGCTCCATAGAGTTTTCAAGGATGTGACCTTTAGGAAGCAGATTACCAGGTCTTACTTAAAATTTGTAAGATGACCAGGTATACAATAAGTAGAGTACAGCAAGTCTAACTTGGAAGATATAATCATGCTCATTTTTAGTGAGATGCAGTGTCATGGATCCCTCACTCATCTGACTAAGAAACTGGGTCATCCAGCCCCAAAAGTTAAAGGATTGGGTTCCAATTCCAGCTCTGCAGCTGTCAGATTGTGTGACGTGAAGCCTTTCCTTTAACTTGTGTCTTAAATTCCCAATTTAAAAATATTAGTAGCCTCAAGAGTCTCCCTTAGCTCCAACAGTCACAGTCCCTTTCAGCTACAAAATGCTAAGATGTGGGGAACTGTGGGCATGACGAACAGTACTAATAAAATTTATCGAGGGACTGTTGTTGTTAGGTTTCAACTCAGAGCGACCCTATATACTACAGAATGAAATACTGTCCTGTCCTGCACCCTGTTCACAATTGCTGCTGTTTGAATCATTGTTGAGCCACTGTGTTAATCCATCTTGTTGAAGAGCTTCCTCTACGTCACTGCGTTGATCAAGCATGATGTCCTTCTCCAGACACTGATTCCTCCTGATGACATGTCTAAAATACACGAGACGAAGTCTTGCTATCTGCAGTTCTAAGGAGTAGGGCTATTGGTTTCCCAATGGAAAGCTTCTTTGCAATTTGTAAAGGGGACTTTTTCATTGCAAATATCAATCAGCCTCAGAAATATGTATTATACAAAGTCCACCAGATCCAAAACAGCTAGTACCACTTTCAGAGAGAAATACTTTTCTCTAAACCTTAGGCTCTTATTCTGTAAAATCAGGTAATTATCGGAGTGTAGTGGCTATGAATTGGGCTGCTAACCTCAAGGATGACAGTTCAAAACTACTAGCGGTTCCATGGGAGAAAGACGAGGCATTCTGCTCCTGTAAAGATTTACAGCCTTGGAAACCCAATGTAATGTCACTATGAGTTGGAACCGACTCCATGGTACTTAACAACAACAACTCTCCCTTTCAGGGTTGAGAGAAAGATTCCCTAAGATCCCATTTGTTATACACGTAGAGCAGTGGCTGCTTCACTTGTGATAAGCCCTTCAGAAATGGCACCTGCTGCTAATGTTCTTGTGATTCAACAACATGGAGGGATGGCTGTCATTTTGCCTTCAAATGGCCTGTAAAAAAGGCAGGAACCCAGTGCCTTTTCCCCAACATGACTCGGACATGCCCTATTTAAATGAGACAGAGGTGAAGGATTTAGCACTGCACCTAGCTACAGTGATTGCTAGGTGTGTTTCTTATAGTTAATTAAGCACAGGGCACTCATGGCAGTGGGTTTTCGGTGGTTATGGAAAAACTGAACTGAAAAAGTACTTTGATACTGAATTGAGAAAGAACTCAGTTCTCTGTGGGGACAAATTGTTACTAATTTGTATCTGATTACCTGGCATATGTAAACAATGTTTAAATTATATTACATGCATAATCTAAACCCCTCAATAAATCTATGGTCATACAAATTATTCTGTATCCCCAGTGAAGAAACAAAAAAGCAGGATTTATCCAAGGTTGCTGAAGTATGAACGAACTATTTGGACAATTATAAATAAAACCACTAAAACCAAAAATTAACTAACCAATAAGCCAAAATAACAAAATTCTGTCATGGAACATTTGTGCAGAAGCAGCTTTAGAGACCTTCATTTTTTATGTGATGATTGTGCAATGAATCCTGATTCTTTGCCCCATAGTGTTAACATTTTCTTCCAGTATACCTAACTGATGCCCGTTACCCAACCATGTGCTTCAACATTTCCATTAATGATAC